TCTCTTTCTGGCAAGTGAACATGTCCTATAGCAAAAAAAAAAAAGGCATTTAAAAGTTTCACACCCCATATTAAAAATAAAAATACAGAAAACAAGAGTGTAAGAGCAAGAAAGGGAGACCACTCAAGAGACTATCACATTAATCTAGGTGACATAATGGGGCTTGAAGCCCAAGGGTGGCGTCAGGGATGAAAATGACACAAATAGGATGGCTAGTTCTTATCTGAGATGAAATAAATGGTCCCTGGAAGGAAAAAGTGACATCTTAGCTGAGACCTGAAGGATAAGCAGACATTGGTATCCAAGTATGGAGCCTGGGGGATCAGGTCCACAGGCACCAGACAGAGCTCCCATGAGAAGTGAGAGAAAGGAAATTGCCAGCCTAGGAGCTTCCTCCAGGAGTTGGTGCCCTGATGAGACACATCACAGGAAAAAACCTTGAAGCTTAGGCTACCATATGCTCCACTCACTCACTGCCCATCCTATACCCTGGCTTCAAGGGAATGAGTGTCTGGGTTAGAGGAAGACCTAGCAACATTTAACATTTAACATTTATTTAGTCACTAAAGTAACATACAAACAAGAATCCTAGAGAAAAGAAGAAGAAGAAATAGAACATTTGTAAATGTGCAGCTGCCTTTCAGATTCTTCTTAAATTCTAGGAAGGAATCCCAGAGTGAAATCATCTGAGACAGTCTGGCATCTGGCCAGGGTACCAGGGCTAGCACTCCAACTCCTAGGAAAATGCCCAAGTATCCTGAACAACTGAAAGTGGTTGCAGACTAGGGTCTCCTAAACATTTTCTAAGAGGAAATATTTTTAACCCAGACAGACCACATGGCTTGCTCACAAGTCTGTCTACTTGTCTAGGAAATAACCAAGAAAAAGAAGAAAAACAGCCTCTCCCTACTCACCTGGGGAGAAAAGTTCCCTAAGTCAGGTGAACAGAGAAACTGCATTTCATTTACTCTATAGTATGGTGCTTATGAGAACTTTGGAAAACCTGGACTGTAGGAAAATAAACAGAAAATAAGTCATTAGCAAAAAAAAAACAAAAAAAAACCAGGTAAGAAATGTGCATTAAAATGAAGACATGTCTACTGTTAGGTAAGCTTTCTGAGCATATCTTTAGAGTCTTCTCTTAGTTCTTCCCTCCTATCCTCTTTACGAGGTGACATGAGTAAGTTTAGTCTGTACTGCTTGTGCATTCTGAAGTGAAAAGACTGAAAGATGTTCTTGCTGCTCAGTTTAAAATTTCTCCTTCGTTTCTCCCTGCCCTCTACTACCCCTTACACTTATTTTCCTCGTGCATGTTTTTTTTGGCTTCAGGGAACTTTGAATCTCAACTTCAAAAGGAACCTATAATGAAGCCTGGCTGATGTTTAACAGACCCGCCACTGCAAGGGCCCAGCCCGACCGTTCCCTTGGCTCAACAGCCAGAGAGAGTGGGTGAGCCAAGCACAACTAACCCAGAGCACCCAGGTCTGGGCGGCACCAGTTTCTTCACCTGTTCCCTTTGATGCCAAATGGATCTGCCCCCCCACCCCATCCCAAGATATGTCCTTGCTAGTATGCAATGGCTCTCTTCCATGGCTCCACAGGGCACTTCTTAGCCCACTTTCTTTTGGACCTCTTTCTGGAGAAGTGGACCATGTGCTAACTTTGCCATGGATAGCAGTTCTCTGCCCTTGAACTCTCCAGTAGCAAAACTCAGGGAATAAGGCAGAGAAGAGACAGAGAACTGCCAGCACACAGAGCCATTACCCACTCCAGGCTTCCAGCACACAGAGCTATTACCCACTCCAGGCTTCAGGACACAAATGCATAGTATCTTATTCCCTGTTTCATACCACAGTCTGACACTAAGTGACTGATGATGTGCTTAAACTCTACTCAACCACTTGTTATCTAGTGATTTTTCTCTGCATCATGTGAGACATAGAAACCAAAAAGGAGAGACAAGTACATAGTTCTAGATTTGATTGGATACTTAGCTCAATCTTGTTGTGAAAAGGAGAGAAAGCAAGAGATGAAAAGCAGGTTCAGCCACAAAGAATTCTATCTCTGAGATATAATTTTAGGGGGGGAAAAAACATTCAAAAAGAAGCTTAAGACGGCAAAGGTCGTGAAAGCCAAGTTTCCCACAGGGCATGAAATTCCTTGCTTTGGCTCCCTCAGAGGCACCATAGAGAATGACATTTTGTGACTTTACCAAAGTGGACACTTAATTCCATTTCTTCTCTTGACTCTCAGGATAGCGACGATGCAGAAATAAACATCTGGTTTATGTAGCACTCCCTACCCACAAGCCAAGCTCCTTTATCTTGGTAATTCCATTCAACTGGCTGGGTTGATGTATCTATAATTCATATCTTCTCCTGACCAGTCTCAAGCCTGATAAATACTCTTCCTTTGATAGGCCCATCTGGGTTACAGATGTTTGATGCTGGATTCTTCAGGCTCTCTCCTCCTCTCAGAATCTTTGGGAGAAGAACTTCTTTGGGGCTAGATTTCAGGTTTCTTTCTAAGGGTGGTGGAGAATATTGAGTAGGATTTCGAAAGCGAAGAGAATTATTCATGTATCAGCTGTTGTACTTGCATGTCATTTAACTGTAGGTCTGTTGCTCACTTCCTACCACACCCCACTGAACTGTGAGGTCCTTAATGGAAGGACTCTGAGCCTAGCACACTCTGTTTGCTCAATATATGTCTGGCAAAGTATTTGGATCCCTTTAAATTTCCAGTATAATGGAATCATGAACTTGTGCTCTGTGATTTAACTGTAATAATAGTAATGCTATCTATAGGTAACTTAGTTCAGAGACAGTCACTAACTCTGTCACAGAGATCTATGAATTCAAAGTGCCTTCAAACAATCCAAGCTTTGCCACAATTAATTTTAACTGACACCAGGAAGACTGCCTACCTTCAGAGATATCATGAACTACTGTATAAACTGCACCCTACACAAAGACCACCATCCTGATATTGATGGAAGCTGAGATTCAGTCCTTTCACCTCCCATCCTCCCACACCCCAGCTCAGACAAGCTTTTCATAATTTGAACAAAAGTACCAGTTATGTACTGGTCTGCATACTCAGATGAACAAGTTTACTGCTTGCTTCCCTGCTTTGCTACCCCCTTCTAATACCTCCAATTCCTGGATCAGCCATAAAAAAAGAATTTTCTCATTGGCTCTGTCTGAGGACAGAAGACACATTGGATCTATTCATTCATCAACATAAACATAGATAAACAACCACAGGTCAGCTGCTGTTGTAGGCACTGTGAACACAGAAGTTAACAGAATGGACAAGGCCCTGACTTTATGGAGCTGATATTCCAGATAGGGGAAAGACGAATAAACACATAATTGTGCAAGGAATGGCATCAGATATAATAAGTGTTGTACAGGGAATTAAAGCTAGCTGACATAATGGTAATGGAGCAGCTACTTTAAATAGAGGGATCAGGAAAGGCCTCCCCAGGAGGTAACATTTAAGTAGATATTTGAATGAACAGAGAGAAAAATCAAGGGATGAACAAGGAAAGGAGGATTCCAAAGCTCAAACAGCCAACAGGAAGGCTTAGGGGCAGGAACAAGCGTGATCTGTTTCATGAGACTGATTAGAATCTGTCTGGATTGTTGGTCATATGATAACTTCTCTTTGATTAATCACTGCAAACCCTTTTTTAAAAATGACTGCTCTAATTTATATTCCCATTAGCATTGTATAAAGCTTTCAATTTCTCCATGTCCTTGAAAGCACTTGGTATTGTTGTCTTTTTTACTAAAGCCATCAAAAAGGGGATGGGGGTGGGGATCCATGTAGCTGTACCTCATGGTCCACGTCAGAAGAAAGAGGCAGGAAAGGTAGGCAGGGGCCAGACTGCAGCAGAGCCTGTAAGCCACGTGGAGAGTTTAGATTTTAATCTAAGTGTAATGAGGACAAAATTTAAAGGGTAAAGGCCAGGATCCAATTCACTTTTTCTTTTTCTTCATTTTTATTTCTTTTTAGGTTCTTTACCATAGGGTGCATGTGCTCACTGGAGAGAGAGAGACAGTGAGAGGAAAAGTGAGAAATCACCCCAAGGAGGGAGGGCCACACCCAATCACCACTCCTTCTGGGATTTTGGCCACACACACATACATGCCTGGCGTGAGTTTCAAGGCTCTCAATCTGTGACTCAAACCGTTATCGGCCATATAGGAGTCCAGTGCCTTAACCACCATGCCACCTTCTGGCACCCCAATTCACCTTTTCAAGAGATCCTTCTGGATGCTGCATGGAGAATAAAATGTAATGAGACAAAAACAGAAGACCCCAGTTGCCTAAAGGAGACTTGGGGCTAGAGGTAGACTATTGGTTCTTGAAACTTCCGAATTGTTCAAACTGCACCAGAGATGAAATAGACATGAGATCTCTTCTTTATGTTACTTTGCTAAGACCCTAAGACTACAGGAGATTGGTTACATATGACTAATGTTGTTTGGTTTCTATCATTGTGTGTGGATCTTCAAAAAGTTCATGGAAAGTATCTATTATTTAAAAATTATGCCTGGATTTCAATTTCTTGGCATCAAAATAAAATTATACCTTAATTTCACTTTTTATGACCTTTTTGAAGTCCTATCATATTTCTTGTTCTTCATGAAAATTCCCTAGCTTCCACTGGTAAAGTAAGTTCTTCAGCTTTCCAGGGTCTCAGACACTTGGAGTGTATGTCTCCAGATGGACTTCATGCTATACACACTTGTCTGCTCCATGGAGACTGAGTTCTGTGAAGACTGACCCTTTTCTTAGTCATCTCTGTATCTCTAATTAACTAACACAACACTTTGTAATTCACAAAAGCTCAGTAAATATTTGATGGGCTGGATGAATGTTTTATATTGAAACCCTGCTTTTTTTTATCTCTAGATGTCAAAAGGATAAATTGATGTTAGCAATGTACTCTACAAGTATGGCAATTCAGACAGGACACCCCAGTTCCTTACCTCTTGGGTGAATCAGGGTCGAAGCAGGTCTTGCGCACATCAGTCACCTCAGGGTCGCAGCAGTCTCCATCGTCAAAGTCGTTCAGCATGTTGTTGCATTCCACATGGCAGAACCCGTCCCGGCGGTTCCAGGAGTAGCAGCGGCCCTGCAGGCGGCAGTCACCCCCATCATAGCCCGTGAGTGGGTGCTCACACTCAGGATCGCAGTGGTCATTGCCAATCTTGCCCGGCTCACAGTTCACAAGCACGACCCGGTGACGCAAGGTGGAGTTATGGACCTGGTGGACGCTCAGCCTCCAGCTGATGTTATAGCGGCTGAAGGCTTCATTCAGAGCCTCATGCTGCCGCTGGATCTGCTCCTTACTCACAATGGGGTTCAGGCCCTCATCATCACAGATGTTCACCACTTGGTAGCGTATCACCTTCTCTCCCCGGAGGGGCCAGTGCTCATTGTACTGGGAGATCAATTCCACATTGTCACAAGCTGTTTGCCCACAGAGTGGAGGCTGCAAAGGTGTCAGAATCTCGGGCTCTGGCTCAGAGCCCTGGAGAACCTCAAGCCGTGGGTATTTATCCTCTCTAAAGGGGGCCCACTGTTCTTTTAGAGGTTCAAATCTGGCTGTCAGGATCAAGGCAGTCAACTCCTCCACCCCACTTGGATGCTGAGGACTATGCTGGAGATGGCTTTGTGGAAGGACAGTCGACCAGAAGGCCAGTGTGCTCAGGTGTCCACGGAAACAGTGCCCATCCTCAGAGCTATCCCCACCCAGGAGCAAAGAGCGGCAAGACGCCATGAAGGGGCTGTTCAGAGGGCCAAACTGGTCTAGACTACTGGCCACTTGAGTGCCATCCACATACAAGGCCATGCGCCGTCCATCATAAGTGGCTGCCAGGTGTGTCCATGTGCCTGGCTGGTAGCGACTGTGACCAGTCACGATGGTGGCTTTCTTCATGCGGTCGGTGCGAAGGGAGAAGAAGAAGCGAGCGTCTCGCCTTCCCTTGTCCTTCCCTGGGCGGATCCCCAGGGCCCAGCCCTTGTCACTGACCATGTGGGAGCAGTTGTCAAACACACCTGGGAAAGAAAGGAGATCCAGGGGAAGAATGCCAGGTGCAGAAAGGGATGGAGAAAGGGAGAAGAAACCCATGTAAATAGCAAGAATATAGGTTTTTAATGGGGGAAAAAAGTAAGCAATACAGATTCCCCAAATAGGGAGGCTTATCTACGTTCCCATATTAGACCATTCTGGTAGCATCTATTCCTCAAAATAAATATGACTTGAGATTCTACCCAATTTTTTAATATCCAAAATGTCACTGAAAAGTGGACAACCAATGATAATAGCAATCATCCACTGGCACTTTGTCAGGAATGGTCTTTATGCCTACTGACCTGGAGCCTCTGCTTTGCATCACCTATCTTGGTTCTATTCCATTTTCTTAAAAGTCTTCAGGGGGATCATAGTGTTTTGGAAGGGACAGAAATCTCCTACCCTCTTGAAAGGTCAGTAGTCTCTATTGAACATTAGGATAATAATTCTCATGGGGAAAACAAAGAGTTGGTGAATAAGGAAGCCCTTCAGAGAAGACTATAAGATTCCAGACATTATTCCTTGCCCACAATTACCTTCAGTACCATTCTATGGGCAAAAACGCTCATCTATGGGAAATGACTATTCCCCCCAGGTAAGTAAAATGGCATTGCTGTAGACCTGTCTTGAAAACCTCGTAAGTCCATTATGAAAATGAGTGTTCTATACCCAGTGATGGCATGACAGTCAAATGCAGAACTTCCCCAGATAAATAAGGCTTTTGCCATGTTTTACCTCACAACCTTGCTCAAAGTAAGCATAGGACTATAAAACCCAGTAGAATAAAAGAGGGCATACTGGTCGATAGCTAGATCATTAATGAATCAGAAGCAAGAAGGGGTCAACGGGTCAGCCGCAACAGTTTGGAGGCCTCAAATGGTCCAGCAACTCATCTTCAGTTAACCCACCATCACCTCTGAGTACCTATTCTAGCATATAGAGTCCCAGGAGCAGGTTTTACTTGTAAATTACATGAACATAGTATATTCACATGGGAAATGCTTAGTAAACATTACTGGAACTGATGACTGCATGACGGAGAAATCTGCTAGTTTTTGGATCAGATGCCTGGGGTTGACATAAAGAGTCATTCTCCCCAGGTCTGATAAACACATATTTTATTTATTCCTGGACTTCCTACGTAATCCAATTCAACAGTAAGTCTGGTTTTATAAACTGTGAAGCTGCCCTTTCTGATGGCAGGCAAATGTTATAAAAGTAGCTACCTTTTCATAAATGATAGAATATCTTTTTTCTGTATAACTTAATAATTTGTGATTTAAAGTAAAAATTGTTTTCAACAAGGAAAGCTCCTCCCCAACCTATTAATTCTTTTTTGGGTTTTTTTTTTTTTTGAGAGGTTTTTGCTATAGGGC